CTAGAGACCAAAGAAACTTCGTCGAGCCCACTGTTGTGCCCATGTGTTATATATGTAGGAGTAATTCAGTAAGTATTTGAATTAATAGATTTTTCAATTGAGATTTGGAATTGCGGTAGCAAGAGATGGATAGATGGGATCATAGTTGAAGGTTGAAAAAAATCATCCTTTTGCTGCTGGGAATTAGTTTTGAAAGTGGAGGAGAATAGAGGCTCCTTTAGGAACTGGAATTTCTTTTGGAACTGGAGGATAAAGATGTAGAGTAACCACTATCATGCCTCCAATTAATAAAGGCAATGAAGTTTGCTTTAGGACCCTCTCTTTTTCCTTTTCTTAGTGTTTTCTTGTTCAAAACTATCACTGTTTTGTTTTTTTCCCCAAAACACTTAAATAATTTTGTTTTATTTCAGTATACAAAATAAAACTCATAAGAGCTAAGTCAAAATATAGCTCCTTAATCTAGAACACATTCCCACTTCTAAGGGAAATACATCTTTTGTTTTTGATGAAAACCATCACTTTTGTTACAATTGCCAAATATATAAATTCATTTTTATATACCAAATTGTGGTGGGTCATTCCCCTGGAGACTGCGGAGGAAAAAACACCCTCCATAGTGGGTTTATAAAATGAACTGGTTTCTCACTGACATTCAGAATCTCATTTAGCTGTGTTCTGAAAATGATCTGAATGAGGGCCAAAGGATGTCTCTGAAAGGGAAATTGATCTTTGTGTAAGATCCAACAGGAGGTTAGAGCTTTGAAATAAGATATCTGTAGCTTGCTCAGCCCTTTGGAAGGTGCAAATGAGATGTGGATGGGCTCCAGGAAAGGGGGCTGAAGGGAAAGTAATGCAAAGCATAAAGCATTAGGGATATGATGTAATGAGGCAAGAGTACAATATCTATTTCAGCTACTTAATAGTTTTCTAATCTGGATTAAAATCAGTAACCATCTCTGAATCTTTGCTTTCTTTTTTTATGCTAAGGAGGTGGGAAGATTTCTAATTCGTATTTACCTATGAATGTTATCATCAGCCAAAAAGATCACTTAAGAGCTAAAAAAAAAATTATGAACAGATGAAACTTAGTAACATAGAGAACAAAATGAGCTTCATTCTTTTTAGTAACTGACTAGTAATGAAATGGACTGAAACATAGTAGGTACTCAACAAATATTTGTTGAATGAATGCATCAGAAAAATGGAACAGATCAACAGGAAGTCAAGTCAGAAGAGAGCACCAAGACCAAAGAGTCTCTCAGGCGGGGCAGGTAGGAGGCAGAGGAAGGAATTTAGGAAGGCAGATAAGAAATCATCCTCTTCACCTAGGGGTCAGGACCAGGGAAAAGCTGAAGAAGCCAGGGTACTATAGCATAAAAATATTAACAGCCCATTACCTGTAGGGATTGGCAGGTACGTTTCAGAGAATTAAGATTCACAGTAGTGATGCCTATATAAGTACACCTTAAACCACAAATCTGAATATTTGGATTTACATTTGAGGCAGCTAGAAAGCAAGATGAGGAGGGAGGGAAGTGAGGAGTCCCATGAAATTGTCATAGGTAGAATCAGACCAACCAGAGTTTAAATTCAAGCTACTATTCACTAATAGTATAAATATTATCAAAAATTAATCTCTCTGAGGTATCTAGAAAAATGAAGACTTTAATTCTCAAAAATGAAAATTGTAAGCACCTACGCTGTAGAACTGTTCTGAAGATTAAATAAGCAAATATACGAAAAGGACCTAAAATATACTTAACATGATTTTTTAAAATTGTTAGTTATCATTACTATTGTTTTTGTTGTTATTGTAGCTTTTATGCTCAAAAGGATGTGTACCAGCCAACTTGAATTTTGGCTTGACTTCAGTTCAAGAATTAGTCATTCGTAAACTGCTTCTTGGTTTTTCCCCAAGCGTGCTTTTTTTTTCCTCCTCGGAGCTCTATTAAAGCACTCCCATTGCTCCACAATCCTAACTTTTGTTTTAGCAGCACCAAAGAAAAGGGACCTTTAGCACACTCAATCCCGGGTGGCTAAGTGGTCGGCATGGCTGTCCTCTGGCCAATTAGGCCCAGGATCTCAGATCTCAAGAGGAGCAGAAGAGCCAGGGCAGAACCAGGAGAAGGGGAGGCGCTGAGACAGGTTTGTCTCATGTTTCTTAGATGGACCATGCCCCATTCAAACATACTTAGATCATCTTCCCACTAAGAGATGATGTCCCCCTCCAGTGCCTGTTTACTGGTTGGTAAGACCCTCATTTGAGTGGCGAGGAGGAGGACTCAGGAAGCCAGAGTCGCGTTCCTAAAAGCTACCCGTTTGTAAGAGACATGCTTTCAACAGTGGACAAAGTGAGAAGTGCTGTCAAAACTTTGCAACGGAACAGATTAATGAGAAGATAGCTGTAAGATTTGTTATGAAAATTACATTGATAGTGACAACTTGCTAGCGGGTATGCTAGAGTTAACTAACAACACGGCCTATCACTGCTAATTCCCAAGAAATTTAGTTCTGGTGAAAGGTGTCAGACTGTCAAGCAGAGGTTTTAGCTGGTTTCGAAGTTACCTTCATCCCCTGGAGGTTTGGACCCTGCCAGAAACAGGCCTCCCTCTGACACGTCCAGGTTAGTTCCGCCCTTAAAAGCCCTCGGAAGACATAGTTCTGACGTTACCTCATCAGCTGCGAGGCCAGCTCAAAACTTTAGCTGAAAAATGGTAAAGCCCGGGCCGGGGGAGGGGGCCAAGAGGAGCCGGGGGTGAAGGGACTGCTGCTTTCACCTCGAAGTTTGGGCCCAACTTTCATGCTGAGGAAGCGGCTTCCAAGGGCTGAGAGCAACCTCAGTTCCCCAATCCCAGATGGAAAGTAGGATTTCTCTAGGAAAAAAGGTGCCTCCACTCAGACACCTGTGTATGAGGATAAAGTCCAGGGAATACACTCAGGTGAGGTCGCGTGACTGAACGGCGGGAAGGGGAGAGGGTCCCGCTGCGAAGAGCGTCTGGTTCGCTCGTTTGCTTCAGGTCCTCAGAGAGGCACAGACGGGGAGGCAGAACTGCACTGACTGAGGGACTGGGCTTGAGAACCCTGAGGTGCTGGGATATTCGAAACCGGAAGCTAAGGCGTGAGGCAAACAAGGCTGGAGTCGAACAAAGGCGCCCCTGGGCGGCAGGACGCAGTCTGCAGCGGTGGAGGCTTACCCCGAGGACGACCACGAAAGCCCGGAGCCGGCAGGCAGCTGTGCAGAGGCCGCT